TGGAGCAGGTGCAGGAAAATTCCTTGGTGGAATAGGACGTGGCACCTGCTGTAAGAGTGGGCATATCTATAAAGCACCTCTAAAGATTTCCAGCTGCTGAAGTAGCCTTGGGAGGCTGCCTGTCTGAGACGAAGTTGTGCAGTGTTATTGCTGCTCTGAAGGGCGCTGTGGGAAAGGCACCGTTCCCACTGAGTCGTGGAGGCAGAAGGAAATCTTAAACTCCCGCTTGCCTCCAAAACAGGGCTGTGCTGTACCCAGGAGTTCTTCCCTAGAAAACCCTTTTCACAGGAGTTGAACTTATACTGATTTGTAAAAACGCTGCCCAGATCGTGGTTATTCTAAGAAATCTTGCCATTTCCCGGCAGCGAGCGAGTTGGTTCAGATGATGCCCATGTTACCCAGAGATTTTTCTTGTGGGGAGAACTACTTAACTAGTGAACTCCAGCAGGAACAATCAAGCTGTTGGTACACGGAAATTATTAAGTTACATTAACAGAGCAAATGGAGAAAACGAATTGTTACCGTCCATTTTCAGATTTTCACATCGCTTTGTATGGCTGCCGATGAGAAACTGTCATGGACAAAAACTGGCATAAAGATGGAGCTCTTCTAGCACCCAGCATGACTGGTGTAGGCACTCCACATGTCAATGGAGTTCTTTCCTTTGAAATACATCATCGCAGGAGAAAGCTTCCTGTCAACTTAGGCATCGACTTCTGGTTACTTCAGTTCCTGGGTTACAAGACACTTGAGCCACCCTTTCTTGACTGCGCAGCAGAGACCAAAAGGTGGTTAATAGCAAGCACTCTTATTTTTTGAGAAGGCGAATAATTCTTCCTGCTTTTGAACCATGTGCGAGGGCATAACACATATTAAAAATGAAAATATTATATGGAATAGTCATCAGTGTGCCTAAAGGACAGGCAGAAATTAGGAAAAGTGTTAGTAAAATAAAATAATAGTAAAAGTAGGAAGTGTAACATGTAAAGAGGAATCAAGATGAAACCATTGGTATGTATCTAAGGGCTGAACTGAATCTTATTATTCTTACTGACTTTCAGAAATCAGCCATTTGAGGTGGTTTTCTCTCTTTTGTATTGTAGGTCTGTACGGTCCATACAAATGTATTTATTTTCCTAAGTGTCACTGCTGAACAGCAGGACAAAGGATGTATGGGGATAACCTGCATCCCAAACAAGTATCTCCCTTCACACCCCCCCCCCCAAACTCGTAGCACGCTAACGATTTCTGAAGCGCAGGATGGAAACATTGTTGTATCGAGCCAGATTCTTTTTCGTCAAAATATTTTCATGCCCTCTCATGTACTATGCATTCAATGTAAATGCTGAACTTTCATTATTGCCAATGTGATTTCCACACGTGGAGCCACAAGAGTCTGAAATAAGAGGTCTAGAGCCCTTCTGCTTTAAATTCCAACTCCTGCAACTAGTGTGCTAGAAATGAAGAGCTATCTCATTGTATATGCAATATGTAAGTAGTTTGACAAGGATGTCTCTTTACAGCTTAAGTGTCAGCTCTGAATAGATGGATTGGGGGTCTTGAAAGACACGCTACACATCTCTGCATCATCGTTCGTAAAAACTTTAGTAAGTATCTTAAATTCCTTGCACAGCAATACAAGCAACTGCCTCAGCTTCTCAAGGGCACTATACCTTTGATAATGAATATATTTAAACAAAAGGGGGAAAAAACCTTTGCTGAATATAATAGAATGCAGCTTTCTACTTTCATATGTCATGGGACATGAAGGTTCATCATTTATTGAAAATAAGATGTGGACCATCAGTAACATCCTGTCTAGATTTCATTTTCCGAGTAAAATGCCTTTCCAGTAAAATGACAAGAAACTGCTTTTCTCAGGCAAAACCCTTGTGTTCAAGCTGTGTTGCAGTATTCTCCAGACTATTTTCTCCCTTTTGCTGTGCTCTCTGTTATAGCTTGTTTTGCCAGCTGAGAAACTTGTTTTGCAAATCCGTTTTCTCCTTTATATTTAAAAATTATATGCTCCATGTCGGCAAATTTCCATAAGCCTTCAGGACTTCAGATTTACCATTATTCCTCACTGGCCAACAAATCTTAATTTGATTAGAGCTCAACCCTCAAGAGAGACTTTTGAAGGAAGCAGAGTCCAATCAAGGAATACCTGGGGTCAGCTAACGAGCGAACGCCCCCTCGGTAGTATATTCTCCCTCTTTCGTGAGCTGAACTCACCGTTCATGAGCAACATCTCCAGCTCCAGATGTCACAGGACATCTTCACTGCGGTAGAAGGACCAAGGCGTGTGCCGCTGGAGAGGTCATAGCCTCCAGTCACAGGCACGGCTGAACAAACCCCGCAGGGGGTATCAGTGAGCTGATGTGAGTGAGGCAACTGAACGTCAAACCCCAGGCACAAGCACCCAAGGAAGAGGGCTAAAAGTGACACCTGATCCCCATCCCATGGCAACCAACTGATGCCAAACAACAGTAAGGACTGGAGGCTTTGAATGAGGCGTGGAAATGGCAAATAGCATTTTCTAGCAATAGAAAAACCAGGAAAACTATCATCTGTTTCTGCGGCAGTTCTCTCGCCTGGAGTACTTCTCTGACATCCAAGCTACGTTGTGCAATGGATGCATTCCCAGAGGATGAGAGCATCAAATCAATGGGCTGCACCCGCATCACCTTGCAATGTGATATTTGCAGCTCTCACAAACTAACAGGTCTGCTGGGTCAGTGGCTTGAGGACAGATGTCAATGGAAGCCTTCTGCGCTGCAAACCATTGTTTGGGTGGCTCAGAAGCTCTGTTTCCTTAGAATCAATATCGGATTAATGCAGTGGTATTAGACTGGAGGCACCATGCTCTGGGAGATGCTAGCTGTAAGATGAGATATGGAACTGGAGTGTACTTGTAATACCTGCCTGTAATATTTTAACAATTCAGCAACAACTTTGTAAGGCAGGTTATTAGCCGGACTGCGTGAAGCAATTCTAGCCAGAGTAACTGAGTTCTCTCACTATGAACCTTGCCCCTGCATTTTTATTTCTGTATAATATTCCTGACGTGAGTTCTTGCATGGTGTTGCTATGCATTATTAAACTCCCACTATGTTCCACTCCAGAAATGGCTGCATTTAGATTTAGGTGAACTTTTGGTGGAGAGGTTAATCTGCAAAAATGCTATATAAGTGCAAACTATTAATTACTACTTTTGTATTTTTAAGCTGAGAACCCATGGCTGCAGGGATAAAGTTGGTGCATCGGCTCATTAATTTACTAAGTACTCACACTCTCCCCTTGGACGAACAAGTTGCTCTCCCCCTTTTCTCTTTTTCTTTTTTCTTTTCCTTTTTTTTTTCCCCAGAAAAAATGCAATGACCAGATTGTTTATCCTTTTTCTCATTGTGAATGGTCTCCTAAACACTGAAAGATGGCTTGGGGGGGTTGTTCAGAAGATTAGCATCTCTTCTCAGAGGTGGTCCCCAACTGTACTCACATTTATGAATCCATACAAAGAACCCTGAAGAGTAATATATAACCCGATGATGCAACAAGCCAGGAGACAAAAAAATAGCCCATTAAGAGGACAAAGCTAATCAATACTAATAGCAAAGACTAAGATTTTAAAAGCCTCTCAATGAAGTCAGGCACAATCTTACCAGTCAGTCAATGAAAAATGAAGTGTGCCTGGGGGGAGCCTGGGGGGCAAGTCAGAGAGAGAGAGAGAGAGAGGAGACCCTTTTTTAGGAGAGATGCGGATGGGTTAGTTCCCCAGGATGGTACAGCATGTCCTGGCTGCAGCTGGGTGAGACGGGAGGAACAGCAGCGCTTGAGGGGGTAAAATGCTGACAGCACGTGGGAGAGATCAGTTTGGTCTCCTCCTTAGTTCCTCCCGCCTCTCCTTCTCCTTAACTCTTCCAGGTGCAGTTAGTATCTGAGCAGCAGGATTACAGACCCTGTGTCAATGCATCTGTGCTCAGCCTTCCTCTTCTGTTCCCAGATCTGCTCACTTTTCAAGACAGGAGGTATTGTGGTTTCATTCTCTACCTGGCAATAACCAATTCACCCAGGAAAATGGCAGATAAAAGTGGTTCCTTCTCATTGCTCATCTCCATGAGGAAGGCTGTGGATTCAGTATTTCCCGGTCATGGAAAAGACACTTCAAATGGTCTTCTGTTATTTTGACTATATTTTTTTGTTTTGTCTTCCAAAATTCTTTGTCAACTTTCCTAGCCCCTTCTTTGGGCTCTTTGGTACGTTTCCTGTACAAGTTCCCTTTCATGCCATTGAAAGTTCATCCGGTGTTCCCAAAACGCAAATACCACAGGCTTTCCTTCATGAGTTGTGCCGATCCTTCACTCAAGCGTGCCACAGTGCCCCATCCATCTTGCGTCTCCCACCCTGTCCTCAACTCCAGTTTAGATTGTACAGATTTTTCTCTGTGTAGCATCCCTCAAATGCAGCCTCTGATATCCATCCACGTTGACGAAATTCAGGCCTAGACTTAATTTTGTGGTTTGTATTCCTGTGTGTTGATAACGCCACCATCCTTTCTCTTGGCCATTACTGACGCAGCCTTGTCCTCCCGTGCTCTTGCAGAAGCTGCTGGTAGAAGTGTTTTCCCACCTTTCTTTGCACTCTTTCTCTGACTTCCCAGTATATTCCCGGGAGGGAACTCCTCCATGAGTGATTGAGAAACCACCTCATGCTCTTTCACATTCCTCCTACTCGCTCATTTTCTATCCTGCTCCTGCCCACCGTGCTGACCAGTTGCCTTGTATCCTCTCTGCTGTGTATTGCGCTCCCGCTCTCTCTCATGCTCCAGCTGGAGGTAATCCCCACCCAGCACCGTCCTCTGCCTCTCACCCCAGCCCTGCTAGACAGCTGCTGGCCCTGTGACCCAGAACATCCTTCCCTCACCCCTCGCAGTCCAGGCAAGCTGGTGGACAGAAGGGAGAGCAGTGTCCTCCTGCAGGGATGGGCTTCCAAACACAGCCGCCATGTCAGGCAGCCCAACTGCATCCAGAGGAGATCGTGTAAGCAGGTCCTTAACTCTCGGAGATAAACTCTGGGAGGACCGCGCATCTCTTCACCCCGTGTTTGTGCGGTGCATGGCAGAGCAGAGCCCAGGTCTAAAGGCATAGGCACTACAGAATTAGTATCAATAAGGTAAAATGGCAACCAAAGCTTCCCACCTTGTGTGTCAGCACTGGTGCCTGGCTGTGAGCTGCCTGTGACGAAGAGGAAGGTTGCTCAGCTGCTGTAGTTCTGCCAGTCCTCGGCTCCTCTACTGAAACTGCTACAAAGGCAGAAAATCACTTCAGCTACGACTAAAGGAAGCAGCAGTGCTAGGAGCTGCGCTGGGATCATTAGGGTAGTTAATATTCAGCAGGCATATCGCTAAAAAGACAGTGGTGCATGCTAAGAAAAAAAAAAGCAACAAAACCCAACACTGCACATAGGTCTTTCTGTCGGAGATACTAACAGTGACGATGTTTTTTTGTACAACAGGCAAGTAGTATCCATGAAGACCGGAACCACTGCTCTGCCACATCTCACCGAGGTCATCGTGGAGCAGCTGTGAAAACGGTCCTGAGTAACATGGGCCATAGGTAAGCCCATGAATTAGAGATTAAATGCTTTTTACTGCTTTACTGGTCCTCCAAAGATGACTTCTCTACTTTGGCACAAAATATTCCAGTCAAGCTGACATCGTGGCTTTGGTCAGGGGTCCAAAATAAATGGCACTAAACAGTACCCAAGCCTGCACGTACACATACAGATATATATTTTGCAAGAAATCTCATTTAATTCATTTAAAAAAAAATCAGAACTCAAGGAACTCTCTGAAAAGGCCCTCAACTGGAGATAAAGGCTGTCTGTCATCATAAATGCAATGTAGCTGTAAAAGGAATTTTCAATGTATATAGAGAGACTGTAGTCCAGAATGTGTTATCAGGCAGAAAAACCAAAACCCTGTAAAGGGCCACCTCTTGCTATAATGCAGGTCTTCTCTATAATAGAGTCAGCTCTGATATAGGACTATTGCTGCACTGCAAGCTGTAATAAATATTAATGTGTCAAACAGTACGCCACCTCTATTTCAGGATGGAGGCGAAAGACAGCCTTACAGAGGATGAGTTGCAGCCTTGCTAGGGAGCTAGTGCATTCCCAGGGCTTTTGGCAAGGGATTTTTCTCTTTGCAGTGATTGCATCCTGCATTTCTCTAAAGAATCACCAAAACCTCCATTTTACTCTATAAGAAAGGCACGAAATCTGCCTGTGCTTGGGCCTACGCCTTGGGGGAGTGATATTTGCACTTCATAACTGTGTTCACTGCAAATCTGCTCTCATGCCAGTCCAGCATTTTGTAATGCACCCCCCAAGGTCATTCCCTACCAACTGACAAGTCGTATGTTAGAGGCCCAACATGTACCGCCTTGCAAAGAGATGCTGATATTTATATTGCATTTGTTTCTCATAGTGCAGTTACTCTACAAAGAAAACTAAATATGTATATAGTTGTATGTCTGTGTATATATCTTATAAATGAATCCTTTCATTTTCTTGCCTGCATCATGACACTGTATTAAATATCTTACCTAAGCACATGTCTATGAGTAGTATTACTAGACCAAACACTGGAATGTATATTTGTCTTTAGACATAATATGATTCTAAACATAGAATATAAATGTAAATAAATATTATACTAAATATTTATGTTTACTATCCCATGCAACCATAGTTTATCAAATATTTAGTAGCCTACTTACCTGTGCTCTTGTGGGCACAGCTGCATAACTACTTATGCTACAGAGTGTTTTTGTGGTTGATTAAAATGCATTTGTATGTATATCTGCACTAGTTAAACAGCCACTTACAGAAGCAAGCAGAGAATGCTACTCCTTTTAAAAAAAATGAAGCTTGTTGTTACAGATTCTGCAACATCCCTTATACGAAGCTCTTATTAGCATCATGCTAGGTACCAGTGGAGCAGCAGGTTGTTTTTAAAGTGTTGGGATGCCACACAGTGTTACTCCGAAAAAAAAATGAAAGGAAAGGCAGCCTCCGTTTGTAATGAGCCCCGATCATTAGTTTCAGCTCACAACACATTGCTGAAAGAGAACTATTTTCCTTCCACAGAAATGTGTGTTTCTGTCCAGGAATAATCCTGTTAGGCTAGGAGACAGGAGAGAATCGGAAGAGTATCCCAATGTTTTCTTCAGCAGAAAATGTGGTAACACTGAGAATGGGATGACAATCCCGCTCTCCCATATCGCAGACTGAAGAGGAAAGGGGATTATATACTTCCACTGCAGGAGGATTCAGGCAGCATTTAGTGTTTATTCCATCCTTGTTAAACTTACTGCTCTACAGGCAAACACTGTTGCTACTGTTCGCTCAGCATACATTCCAGCAGAAGCAGTTTGCCTGCAATTAGTCAGCAACGAAACTCAGTTCTTAGGCAACCTCAGGTGGCAGCAATCACAGTTCTTACTCCCCCTGTTCCCTCTCTAAGCAAAGTTTCATATTCTCATGATGCAAAAGGACTGCATTTGCCAACAGGAGATGACCAGCCCCACTTTTTGAAAAGTCATCGTGTAAGACTCCCAACAGAAATGACTGCTTTGGTTCAAATTTAATGGTAAAAAAGTACTTTAAAACCTTGTTCGTGAAGCTCATTGATAGCGAAGTTATTCACAGAAATACCACAGGAATGAGGAAGAAGCACAAGTCTTTGCTTTTTATGGTAGATTCTAAGCAAATAACCTTAAAGGCGCTAGGTTGATGTGGTTGCAATTTCATTAATTTCAAAGAAATTAGCTTTTCTGGGTCACATTTTAACCTGATGGCAGGTTGTTACACTGGAGAAAATCTGGCCAGCCACTCCACAACCACGTAGTATCAGCCGGCAGGGCTGAGGGAGGTGATCTTTGTAAGGAAGAGGAGACTGCAATGAACATGAAAAAAAAAGACCTCAAAAGAAAGCCATTAAGTGCTTTTTCATCCTAACTAAGTTCATTGTGAAGGGTGGTTGGGAAAAGGGGTAATATGAGACTTTCTTATTGAAAAAAATATTGATTGTTAGGAATCAATAGCATTAAAAAGCTGTGCCTTAAGCACCAAGCTTTGAAGGACTCCACAAGCTTTTCCGTTCCCTGTCTGTTCTCCTGCCAGAACTTTGATAGCTTTAGCCTGCAAACCAGCAAATGCAGTGATTTGATGGTGGCCAATATATATTAAAAAAAAATAAGGTGTCAAGCCTGAATTTTATTGCATCTGCAATCAGATGTACTTCTTTCAGTCAGCTCATTTGCAATTAAGTCCAGCTGTTCTCAGTGGAAAGGACTCTTCCAAGGAAATTGCTGTAAAATTTAATGGGAGGATTTTCCTTGGTGTTTTGTTGTAAATATTGTTTTCCTAATAGGCTTGTAAAGGGCTTCGCTTTTTATTCAATGGGCAAGAGAAGATCTGTAATTTTTCAGGCATTAGAAAATGAATAGGTCAGTGATAGAGCTCATAAAACTTATGAAAATATTCTCATTGTATAGCAACGGAAAGAGCTTTAATAACTTGAAGGAGAGGAAGTTTCTGAAGATTTTTTTGGTCTGCGTAGTTTTTTGTTTACAGATGAAGGGCTATTTTTTAACTGACACATCAGACAGGCTTTGATCAATATGCTTTATTGGGTTTCTTCTGCCTAAAATCAGGTACGACAGCCAGAGAGGGGCACCAGACTGCAGACTTCAGAGTATGATCCTTCATTTCAGTACTGCAGTATAACATCCCACAAGGGCCAAAATATTACCCCGCGAACTCACGATAGTGCAATGCTTTAGTTTGCTATCACAGGTAATACTGTTTGGGCTTTAAGCAAATGATCAACATTAGGAACTTTTGTATCTCCTTGCCACTGTGTCCAAAGAGCCTCTCTTTCCTTTTTACCACTTAGGCAAAGCTTAGATGTGTTTTTCCTATCTTCCAGCAATCTTTTCAGCAACATTTTCAATCTGTGTGCTTCTGTCACTCCGGGAGAACAGTGCCTAAAATAAAACAGTGAGATTTGTAATTATTGACATTATTTTAAGATGTAACGCTGAAGCGTTAAATATAACAAAATGAAACTATTTTGAGGGGGAATGTTGAGACGTGAATGATAGCAAATACTGTTACTGTGGATTTATTTTCACCCAAGCAAAAATCAGACTCCTTCTCTAATGGTGAAATATGACCTGGCTCTTGCAGAGAGAGTAATTTGCTAATTTGTTTAACGTTGTTATCTGTGCAGGAAAGCCTTGCAAGAAAAAGAATTCAGAATGGATCAAAAGTGCAGGTTATTTTTGGGGACAGAATTAAGCCACTTTTTATTCTTTAAGACGGTGTTCATATTCCTTTTTTGGCAGCTGTGAATACTGAGGAGAAAACAACTTGTCCTGATCAAAAGCTGCATTATCATTGCTCTATTGGTTTGCAATGCAAGAGGTGAAACATTTTCTGTCAACAAAAACCTTCTGCTGAGGCAGTGGAAGTCCTTCTACTAGTACAGTTTATTTGAAGAACAGGAATGAGCTATACAGTAGGAGAAATATCCTTTTGCTAGTATACTCATATAGCTACCTTGGCAAATCCTCGTGGTTTAGAATCCCATCTCCCATGTCTGCAAATAGCAAGAGTTAGCTGGCACAGTTTGGAACAGTTCTCCAAAATAGTGTAGCACAGAAAGTTATAGAGGAAATATCTGCTGAACATGTATGTTCCTGTGTACGGGCTTCAGAACAGATTGATAAACCTGTTAAGAGATGATTAATCAAAAGGGTTTGGATCAGGAAATGACAAGGGAGTCAGAGCTAGCTGCAGAGGAGTGTAAAAAGATTAGGTCTCTGTAGGAGAATGTCTTTCATAGAAGTGATTAGAAAATGAACCTCAGTGCATGATTAACAAGGAAGGAGGGAAGGGCTAGAACACTGTAAAGTTCATACTTGGGGTGAACCTATATATATGTTTTATTAGCATAGCTTGCTTGGTTTTGGCTAAGTCACTGCCTCCAGAATAAAGTATGTGATTTTCATCTCGAGGCAGTTCCTGCAGTTACAATGTCCAGGGCTTTTTGCTGTTGTATGAATTAATCTGCTGGGTCTGCCCAGCAGGAGTGGAAGGAAAAAGCAGGGGGCACAAGGAATAGAGTAGGTCTCCTTGTCTAGGCAATGGCCAGCGCTCGCCTTTCCCTTTTCTAATCCCTATGGGCAATATCCAAAAAGGGAGCAACCCAAAGTCACAGTGGGGACTGTGGATAAATGGCATCACTTGGATGAGAAAGCTGCAAATAGCACTGAGGCGCCATGGTCCGTTCATTCATTGAAGTTCTTTGTATGCCTCTTTTCCAGCTTATATTGAAAACTTACACCTGATATATAGAAACTTTAAAGGTGTCTGGGTCACATTTCAGCTAGTACCTGGTAAGAGAAACAAGCACAAATGCACCTTTTAGCTCCATAGCAGAGCAACTGCTGCAGGAAGCTGAAGATCTGGTCCTGACTGCTCCCCACATTAAATGCATTTACGGTTTGTGAGCTGTGATCCATCAGGGAGGTGCATGACAGCTTCTAGA